CCCGGCCGACCCCCCCCCGCCCCTCTTTCCTTTCTGCCAACACAAAAGGCTCAGGGTCGTGGTTACGTATTAAGCTGTTTATTTACAACGTGAGCACAAGCTCTTCAGGAGCTGGTGGACCCAGGCCTCTTCTTCTTTCTCTGTCTGGTTTGGAGGGCGCCTTGGGACTGCTCCAAATCGGGGAGTTTCCGCTTGGCAGCTGCCTCCAAGGAAGCCCAGAGTTCATCTGTCTCTGTGTCTTCTGAGGGCACCTTGTTGGGCTCTTGAGGCTCTTGGGGTTCATCCTGGTGAGTGGGAGAAGAGCTTAGGAGTCAGACCCACAGGGAAGGGGAATAATTCCTCCAGGCACCACCCCTTTTATTTCCTGCTCCTGGAAACCATGTTTATCCATGCGCCTATTTCACCCTTGGCAGTAACTCTTTTAGGACTACACTTGGCAGATGGATGCTCAGTCCCGGGTCTGAGTTCCAGCTGCTTCCCTTTCCTCTTCACAGGGAAGTCCTCACACCTGTGCCCTTAGCTCCCACATTCCCAGACCCAATTACTTACCTCCCAGTTATCCCTGCCTGACAGTAGGAGGCAGTTCAGTTGAGATTTGAGGTAAACCTGCAAAAGATGTGGGACCTTAATGGGCCAAGCCTGCAGAAATAGAAACATGAATCCAGGGAACAGGAGGCAGCAGGCTCTCACCTTATGGTCCAGGCCCCGTGGATTCCGGATCCTGTGTACCCTCAAGACTCTGTCCAAGCCACAGGAGGCTAGAAGGGGCTTTGAAGGGTGGCACTGCAACCCTCGGACGCTGCCGGCCAGCCCCTTCAGACAGACCAGTAGGCGCCCTAGAGAAGGCGGTAGGAATCAGTGCTAGTTGGCCAGCCAACAACCATTTATTGAGTGTTTACTGTTCATATCACTTTATGTTTCAACATTTAATCCTCGTTTAACATAATGCTGAGATGGCAATTACCATTAATATCTCCATTTTTCAGGTGAAGGAACTAAGGCATGGAATTGACAAAGTAATTTGTCTAAGGTCACACAGCTTATGGCCGAACCAGGATTTGAACCTGGGCAATCTGGCACCTGAAAGAGGGCTCAACAGCTCCACTGCACCCCGTCAGAGGGAATCCTGCCCTTCCTCCCCACCCCTTCCCCTCCCGCAAGTCTCCCTAGTCCACTCACCCTGCCGAAGGTCAATTTCTGCCAGCTGCCCATGAGTGTTCCCCACAATCACCGAACTGAGGAGATCAGAGGCACATGGGGTCAGCAGGGGCCCCCTGGAGTCCTTCCCAAGCCCCACTTTGCCCTCTAAACACTCACTTGCCCCCAGGAGTGAGGGTCATGGCTGTCAGTGGGTACTCTCCGTAGGTGGCCTCAAGGACCGGCCTGCGCTGGGGGGAGGCTGGATCATAGACACGGACCTGGAGGAAGACTGAGGTATCACCAACAGTACCCGCACTCCACATACCCCCTCTGGCTCCTCCACATCTTCATCCCCTCCTCATACACTGCTTTGCTTACAACCCACTCTTTCAGAGAAACGCATCTGAAATGCACCCCTCTTCTCTGTGTATTGGGGGCTAGGGGAGAGACAGCTGCTAAGGAGCGTGAACATACAGGGCTGAGAAGAGAGGTCCCCCAGCCTGGAGGCGGCAGCATTCCCATGGTCTGCATGCATGAGCATTCCTTCCCCCCCCCCGTACTCCCATCTTGGGATGGAAAAGCAAGTCAGTCCAACTGTCAAGAGTTGCTGAATTTCAAGCAGAGAAAGACGTTAAGTCTCAACAGGGAAGAGAGAGGAAGCCCTCGTATGTGTTCTGAGCAGAGGCGTCTCACCGATAGCAGACTTCAGTATGTAGGAGCAAAGGAAGCATGGCAAATACAGCCACCCAGGCCTGCCTGGGTCTTAGAACTTCCCATAAGACCAGCTGGGAACTCCCTGGCAGTCAGTGGTCAGGACTCCGTGCTTCCACTGTAGGGGGCACGGGTTTGATCCCTGGTCGGGGAATTAAGATCCCGCATGCAGCGCAGGGCAGTCAAAGAGAGAGAGAGAGAGAGAGACAGACAGACCCACTGAAAAGATCCCCATGTGGACCTTTCCCGTAAAGCTGAGGAGCTGAGGCCAGTTAGCAGAGGGTCAGGCTTGGGTCCGAAAGCAAATCAGAGGCTGCATCAGGACCAGAACTCAGTTCTCTTGATACCCAGCCCACGTCTTCTCATGACACCTGAACCATGTGATTCTACTATGAAGGGGACACTCCCTTCTCTTCTCTTCCAGGTGGGAGGAAAAGGAAGAATCACAGTTCAGGGAACTCCTTCCGAGAATGTAGTAAGAGAAGATCACCGGCTCAGCCATTGGGCTGGAACAGACGGGGGAAGTCGTCCTCCTTCTGGGAGCTCAGGGATGGAAGAAGGATGGCAAGCAGGGTGGCTGTGCCAAATGGTGGGGACCAAGGCTGCACAGCAAGGCTGTTTCTCCAGGAGGCTGCTTAAGTCCAGAAAGAGATAGGGGTGGGGTGGGGTGGTGCCTCACCTGGTGGTACCCTGTACAGGTGACGAGCTTCTGTGACTCAGGGAGGAACTGTATGTCCTGGTCCCAGATGGGAACCCGCAGGTCGAGCCAATCATTTCGTACCTGGTAGGGTGGGTAGATGGGGGACAGGGCTGTGGAGGGCTCAGTGTGCCCCCTCCTCCTGCCTTCTACCATTGTCCCCTAAAGCCCAGCTGGTCTCTGACATAGTCAGTGGCCTCAGACTCCCTGGACCTCAGAACCAGCCCCTCCCCGCCCCCCATCACCTCCCCACCCCCCATCACTCACGTTCTTGGCCCTGAACACAGGCTCCTCAGAGCCCTGCAGGTCCCACACCTTCAGAGCATTCTCCTTCCCACCTGTGGCAACCATGTGGTGGCGCACTGGGTCTTGGCGCATTCTACACACCCCAGGGCCCACCCTCAGTTCCAAGAGCTGAAAAGAACGGAAGACGAGAGGGGAGATGAGAGTGGGTTCCAGATCCTTACTCCTCCTCCCGCAAAGCCTTCCTCTGGCTCCTACCCTGGGCCCCACCTCCCCCAACCATCAGGATCAGGACAGGGGAGCCTCACAGGGTCAGAGGATGCCTCCTTATCATTGTCATGCCAGACTCGAAGAATCCCAGAATCCACACATGTGATGAGGGTGCTGCCGGCAAAGGGAGGATAGAGTTAGGGTTAAAAAAAGGAGCAGGGTTGTTCTCTGGCCCCAGTCGACCCACCCCCAAATTCATATGAACTAGACTCCCTCCTACCAGCCCTGTTCCTTTTAAAAAATATATTTATTTATTTGGTTGCCCCGGGTCTTAGTTGCAGCAGGTGGGCTCCTTAGTTGCAGTTCACAGGCTCCTTAGTTGCAGCATGTGAACTCCCAGTTGAGGCATGCACGTGGGATCTAGCTCCCCGTCCAGGGATTGAACCCCGGCCTCCTGCACACAGGCCTGAACGTCCTGTGAGCATCAAGTCCTATCCACTGTGCCACCAGGGAGGTCCCATACCAGTCCTGTTCCTAAGGAAGCCTCTAGGTTACTCGGGTCTGGGCAAGGCTTGATGGCTGTTATTTAATTTCCTCAACAAGGTAAGGGTTTACCAGTCTCATAAGTGAGGAAACTGACGCTCTGAGAAATTAAAAGATTTGCCACTCAGCTATAAATGTCAGCACCAGAGCCGGAAATCAAGTCTGATACTGCAAAGCAGAGCCTTTGCGATTCCACAGCTACGGCTGGGGTCCCTGGCCCTGCTCGTCTTTCTGAACCTTGAGTCAGTCACCAGAGGTCAGGATCAGTAGCTCTGAAGGGATTGAAATGGGACTGTTCTGGATTTAGTGTTCGGCCAAAACCAAACACCAGCTGCTTCTCTCAAGTTTCCTGTTCGGGGTTCCAATCTCTCCCTCAAAGTATGCGTCCCATGAAGCCCAAGCAAGTTTCTCCCCAGTATCGGTATAGTTCAAGCTTATACTCTTTCTCATATCTGCCCACCCTTCCCAACTCGGTTCAGGCTCTAGGCTTGCCTGGGCTGTGGCAACAGTCTCCCAACTGCCCTC